AGGGAATATTTTATAGATATTTTAAATCTTCTAGATATTTAAACAATTTTATTAAGTTTATTCACATTGAATTTTATTTAAAATTACTCTACATGCTTTCTTCGCCATTTAGTTCGGTATATTTCATCAGTGTTAATTATGTTACCGTTCATCAGTGTTAATTATGTTATCTACAGTTCTATTTTTGTGTATTGTTTTTAATAAGGACTCTGGATACCTGTTCTATGTACGATTCTATGTATCAATATTCCGCTACTGTATAATTCTATTGGTTTGTTTATTGGTTTTGTGCAGTCATTTTGCGAAGAGGTACCTGTTAGAGAGATAACACCTGAGGCTGGGTTCACCTTTTGATTGATGACATATACTTAATCAATCAAAACAAAATATAAAAAATACTATCCACACAAATCTCAAGGCTAAGTAGTAAACAAAAGGAAAATTAAGTTTATAAATTTCTACACTAAAATAACTCAAGTATTGTTCAGGTTAGAAATCTAGAGGAATTTTGATTTTTCGTCCATTTCTTGTCACGACAGTCTTAATGTCTTTTGATAAATCTGTAGATGAATTATTCTTCATCAATTGTGAAACTAAACTGCCTTTCCCTTGTGTCTCAGTTTCATTTGCCTCATCTGACTCCAAAGATGAAGGTATTTCGAGAGGGAATATTCTCTAGATTGGTCGAACTAATTCTCCAGAGATGGTTTTGACACGAACTACACGAATATTGCCATCTTTTCCGGGGTATAATTCAATGACTTTTGCTAGAGGCCACAACACCTTGCGTTTGTCATCACACTTCGATAAGAACAAGTATATCCCCGATTTTTATCTGTTGAGAAATCGGCACTGTAGATGGACGTTGCACTAGTAGCAGGCCGAGATATTCATTTCTAAATCTCTTTCTCAAGAGCTCTCGTAAATTCTGTAAAATGTTTCAGTCTCTTGTTGAAATCAACTTTTATCAAGATGATCCAAGTCAGGACTTGATTCCAAGACTTTGGAACTCCAAAGGCTGTAATTTCACCTAAAAATCAAGGACGGTGTCAAAGGGATGAGAACATCAGAGTCCTCTGACACATAAGTGAGTGGTCTAGCATTCACAGTTGCCTCGAAGTCGCACAGTACACTCATCATTTCTTCATAATTCAGACACGACTGGCCTAGGACTCGACGCAAAAGCTTCTTAATCATTCGAAAACAAGTCATTCCCAAAAGCCACCCCACCATGGTGCTGTGGGTGGACTGAACTTCCAATCGATCTTGTTTGTGGCGGCTTCTATCTCGATGGTATTCCAATTAATCGATCTCAAGAGATTATTGGATCCGACAAAATTGCTTCCCTTGTCGCTATAAATTATCGATGGCCTCCCTCTACGGGTAATAAATCTTCTAAAGCTAAGTCATTATTGGATCCGACAAAATTGCTTCCCTTGTCGTTATAAATTATCAATGGCCTCCCTCTACGGGCAGTAAATCTTCTAAATCCAAGTAGAAATCCTTGAGTTGAAATGAGCAAAATCAGTTTCAAATGAGCCGCCCTGAAAACAGCACATGTGAAAAGTAATATCCGAGCACTTTTATCCTTCAAAATTAATGGGCCAGCTAAATCAACGCCGACAATCTCGAAACCACGAGCATCTCTAACTCTGTTTTCTGGTAGAATAGCAGGCACAATCTGTAGTCGTTTACCTCCATGTCTCCTGCACCTGACACATGCATATAAAGCTTTTCGAATCGTAGCTCTGCTTCTCAGGATCCAAAACGTCTCTTTAAGTGTTGACATCAGTACGTGAATTCCTGCATGAGACATAGAGAGATGTTTATCAATTATCAATTTCTCTACAATCTTATGATTCTTCGGAAGTAACATCGGATAAATAAAATTTTCATGGTCTTTCCTTTCAGTCAACCTAGGCTTGACACGCAAAATGCCTTCGTCATCTTTGAACACAGTTATTGACTTCAGCTTCTTAATATCATCAGATGGTCTTTAATTTCAGTCAACCTAGACATCATCAAATGAAAAAGAATCATGAAATGAAATCATGAGATGAAAAGAATCTTCACGATAGATTTCTCAGCCCTTATCAATTCATAAACTTTTAACTCTCCTTCTTCTCTTTCTTCTTCTCTCTTTCGGTTATTTCCTATGAATCTGTGTATCCACCCAATCATTCTAAGTACTTTCTTATAGTTTGAAAAATAGCCAAAGAATTGTGAAGACATATCGCTAAAATTGCTCAACGAAACTATAAGTGCTTTATGTTTTTCAGTATTAACCTCTTCTTTATTATCGATTGGGATAGAACGACGCCATTCTTCTTCCGACTGTGCCAACCAAGGTGGGCCCTCCCACCATCTTGATTCAATGAGTTTCTTCACAGAGCATCCTCTTGATGGCATATTGGCTGGGTTTTATCTTTCCCATGGTTGTCCATTCAAGTAATGATTCCACAGCAGTCAGCCCATTTCCTAATTTCTGAATTCTTCCGGTTAACAAAGCACCTGCGACGTCAGCTCTAATAAGAACTATTTTCAAATCCTTTTTTTCCTACGTCAAATATATGGATATTTTTCTGCCTTAGTTCTTCTATCCATGGTCCAGGCTGTAAACTGACTACTGGTCCATCTCCGACTGTTCCAACAAGATTAGTCGTCTAGAAAATTCACCTCTCTGGCTTCTAACGTTCACTTCATAGCGTTTGTGAATTTCTCTCTTTGTTGTCACTCCTCCAAAAAGTGCATGAATTAAAGATCCGGATCTAATTGCGTGGCACCCTATGTCTACAGCAGTCTCCTTTAATATGTATGAACATCGCGATCCTGTGTCGAAGACAGTAAGTGCCCTTACTGTCTTCTGCTTTTTGTTTGCGTCGATATTAATTAATAGTGTTTGAAGAAACAATTCATCTAGGAAATTGGTACTTGCAAGTGATACGTTTTGTGTTTCCTCTTCTTTATTCTTTTCAACATCATTGCTCGCGTGATTGGTGTGCAATACATATGACACTCCAATGTCTTTTCAAGCATATCAAACATCGTATACATTTGTCTTGCATTGTTTGGCCCTATGTCCAATTTTGAGGCAGAAAAGCAACCCTTTTCTTTAATTTCATCCTTCTTATGACCCAGAGTCATTTTCTGAGCAACGAAGCAATGTGGACTTTCATGATTTTTTTCACAAAATATGCAAGAATTCTTTTCAAATTGGTTGCTTTATTATGGCCTGAGAATAAATCATTCGCTGTAGGCACGAAATGTTCACCGTGGTACCTTTTATCTCTTCTAATTTCTTTCTTTGCACCCGAATCAATTTTTTCTTTTGCCAAAGAAATTCTCTGCTCTCGTTCCACTTCGTTTTTGAAAAACAATAATAATTGTTTCAATTGATAATTTTCTGTTGTAATTATTGATGCATGATTTCTAGGCCAAACTTGTAAAATTTCCTCGGGAATGCAAGATTCCACGAACGGAAACAGCATTGCAGCATATTTATCGCTTGTCATTATCCTATTGACTCCAACGAACGTACATACGGCTCTAACTTGTCATACAATTCTGATATACTGCATTTTTCCTTTTGATCAGTGACATTTTTAATAATCAAACCTAATAATTCCCGAATATAGAATTCTACTAATAATTCTTCACTGCCTAACCTATTTTTAAAGCTTTCTATAACTTTTTTATAATTTTCGGCAGTTGCAGGAAAGGTATTTACAATATCACGTGGTCTGGTACCGGGTACGGTCACTTGAACGAGATAATGCATCTTATCCTCGTTTTGAATTTCTTTGTCTTCGTGTATTTGCCGAAATTGTCCCCAAAACGGTAACCAATCTTTAATTTCACCACCAAATTGCTTCAATTTTATTTTAGGAAATTTCAGTTTCCGTTTGTTCGAATTCGACGGTACACGTCTAGTAGATTGTATCATTTGCGATTGAAGAATAACTCCGTTTCTACCCGTATTAAATCTAATTTTTCTTTGTATTCTTCAACTTTCGCGCATTTCCTTTCAAACTGATAATTCGAAGAAAATTCCGAATATAATATTTGAGTATCAAATATTAAGTTCAACAGATAAACGTTCTTAAAGTAACAAGTTTCGTTTTTACAGATTTTTCATCAAGAATTTCCTTTTCTAATTCCTGCAAAATTGTATTAATTGTTCTCGTAAAAGACATTTTGATAGGTTTTCGTTTCTCAAATAACGATTCCATTTCAATAAAAATAAAGTCAAATAGAATTAAATTCGGTACGTAAATTACCTTGACTTGTTTTACCGATCACTTCCGTCGTCACCAAAATTCTTCGAGATTTGCAAGAACTCTCCTTTCTCCTAATAAACAAACTAAAATAACTTTACATATGTAAGAAAGTTCGCACTACGCTACCCCGCTCTAACACTACCCCGCTCTAACACTACGGGACCAGAAAGTTCGCACTACGGTATCAAAAAGTTCGCACTACGGTACCCCGCTCTAACACTACGGGACCAAAAAGTTCGCTCTAACAGCACGGGACCAGAAAGTTCGCACTATGTTACCCCGCTCTAACACTACGCGACCGAAAAGTTCGCACTACGGTACCAAAAAGTTCGCACTACGGTACCCCGCTCTAACACTACGGTACCAAAAAGTTCGGGGACCAGAAACTTCGCACTACGTTACCCCGCTCTAACACTACGCGACCGAAAAGTTCGCACTACGGTACCAAAAAGTTCGCACTACGCTACCCCGCTCTAACACTACGGGACCGAAAAGTTCGCACTACGCTCTCCCGCTCTAACACTACGGTGCCCCGCTCTGACACTACTTTATACATCTAAGAGAACTGTAACATGGTAACTACTTATTGCACTCTGGAAATAGCACTATCACTTTCGATCCACCTCCTCTACAAAGTTGTTTCTCTTTTAAAAACCATTAAAGCTATTTTCCCTTCATTCTTTGCAAGTTCTTTCCTTCCAAAAGTATATTGATATTTTTCAGAAATTCAAAGAAGAAGCTCGAAGACGAAAGAGCAAATCACAATTTTTTGAAATGATTCAAGAGATCAGAAAAGTGTAAGTATTGAACTAATCTATTTCCTAAACTCTCTTTGAACTAAATAAATTTAAGAAATGGCGTTTTAGGATCAAATGGAAAAAATATCACAATAATAAATCGGGCACTTTTATAATTTCTAATTAAAATAGTCTGCAAAAAATAAAAAGCGAAATTTTATGCAATTAGTTTTGATAAAGAAACTAGGCAAAAATTTAAGAATCGTTTGCTTTTATAATTCGAATTTTCTTTTTAGAACATATTCGTTATTTTAATGTTTTCTTGCAACGGCTTTGTTACGAAACATCGTTAGAAACCTGCAGATTAGTTATTTATTTACACCTAACGAAAGAAAAATCTATTTGAAAAAATTGCCTATTTATTTAACTTAGTAGCGTAACAGCCCTAATGGGCCAAGGCCTGCAGTGCCCGAAATCCGTTCTTGACGTTCGGGCCCGGGGTGCGTAAGCCTACGTCCTGAACAAGTAGTCTATCCTGAAGAAGTGGTCAGCTTGTCGCAGGAACCCCAGTGTTTAGTCCCCAAGCGAACTTAGTACTCATTTTATCGTCCCAAGTGATGGAAATCAAGGGATGAAGGGCTAGGCCGACCTTGTCCAGCCCGGGAATCGAACCCCGGACCTGTGGTGCTGCTGCGCTAGCCACTGCGCCTTCCCTAGTTATTTAATTTAAGTAATTCTACAGTTTTTGATATACGTGTTATAAGAAACTGAATCGAATTCAAAATAAAAGACCTGGAGGACCATCTGAGTTGTCTGACAGAATGAAACGCTTAATTCTATGGAATACTAAAAAGAATCCAAGACTGAGTGATCCTAAACTTGTTTCGGAAATTGTGAATTATATGGTTTATGTGTAAATCCAGAAACTGTAAGAAGAGTAATGCGATCTGTAGGACATCATGGGCGAGTAGAGAAGAAAAAATTTTATGTTTTTTTTTAAAAAAAACGAAAACTTCGACTCGCTTTCGCAAAATTGATGGGAAAAAAAAAAAAAAAAAAAAAGACACCCAACTACTGCGAAAAGTATTGTTTAAGGAAGCAGATTTATTATCGTTTCTGCTCAGACGGGCGAATGCCAAAGAACTTCGGAAGCAAAACTTAGTACCAAGTGTTAAACACAGTGGAAGTGAAGTTATGGTATGGGGATCTATAGCATATTCTGGGGTTGGTAATGCAGAGTTGATAGATGGTACATATTATATGGATTACAAGTACCTTGACATCTTGAATTGAAATTTGGCATTGTCAGCACTAAAACTTAGTATACAAAATAGTTTTAAATTCTACCAGGACAATGATCCAAAGCATAAGCAGCGATTCAAAGGCCATGCATCCAAAAATAACCAAAAAAAAACTTGTCAGAGCCTAAATGAAGGAATCAAGTGTAAAAGTAATCCTAACCGATATTAAGTAGCAAAAACGATTTCAGTTTTTGTCATTTTTGGCTATTACTAAAAGTGTCCGATTATTTTTGTGGGAATATTTTTCCTCATAAAAACGATATTGATTTTTGAATTTAATTTTCAGCCTTTCAAAGATGTATTTACTATAAAAAATATTTAATAGCTTTTCTTTTTATTTTAATTTATTTTTAGTCCAAAGGAGAAATTTGCTCAGAAGGACTATTAATTTCGTTTTAGCATTTTGCGTTGAAGACTCTAAACGGCAATTCACATTTCAAATTGTTGCCACCAAATATTAGAGCCCTGTATTATATTTAAAGAAATTGAAGAATGAAAGAATCTCCAAAATTTTCTCTATGTTTCTCGCACTGTGATAAAACAACGGTACCTAGAGCCATCAAAATTTGAATAACGTAATCTTCCATAGAATATGGGCATGTGGAAGTCCTAATTTGAATTAGAAATTTGTTTTATTATCGATTTCAGATTTTTTAATACTTCAACGAATTTTTGGTAAAAAAATAATTTCAAAGCGAACAATGAAAACGACTATATTGCTGTTCAACAGAATTTTATAGTCTGAGTACGTAGAACATGATATTTAATAAATAATGGTAACAACAAAACGTTAAAAAAACGCCCCTTTATACGTAATTTAAAATCTCAAGATTCAGATTCAGATTTTTTTATTTTTATAATAGTTGTTTTGTTTTAATTTATTTTAGTTAGAATACAAAAATTCAAAGTGTCCAATCATTTTTGTGAGACACTGAATAATATCAAAGAATTATTGTAGAAACTTCATCACATAAAATTCGTAACTTAATTACGCAAGTGACACTTCACATTATGTTAGGTAGTCTGCCTGCATAAAAATTTTGGAATTCGGGTCTATTTGGCCAAATTATCATTCAGATTTTATTTTCCCTAAAATCTAAACTTTTGCTTCTACGAATCTATCCCAAGAAAATAGAGATTTTAGATTTGAACGAAACACTTCCTTTTTCATTTATACAATGCTATTCATACTGTTACCTATCAGTCTCTGATGAGGTATTTTGATTTTCAGCTTTCACAACCAAAAGTAGGACACGAAAAGAGTCTTCATTACAAAGATTCATCGCAGTTTTGATGATACTTTTATAAGCTTTAAAGCTTTCACAGTCCTAGAAAAGAGAAATATCTTTAAGCATCATCTTTTTGGGGAAAAAAAAAAGGCATTTTTCGTTACCGTTATTATAAATCCATGCAAATATATTCTCTACAGACCTGAATTCTTTGGCATGCTGTTTCAGCACGCATTTTGTTACTTTACTTAAAATGTATTAACTCTTTCCTAGATACACTCTCATTGTTCTACAACTTTAAAATCCTGCTTTTTCTCAACTTTTTATTCCATTTCAATAATTATATGAATAAATATGAGACTTTTAGTTCATGTAATAAGAAACTTCATGTAAGCAATATATTCTAAAATATTTTACCTTTGCTTTTAGCTAAAAAGACTTCAGAAAAGCATAAAAATGTTCCTGCATAAATGCAAACCACAGAACAACACGAATGTAACGATATCAGCCTTTGTTCAACTTCGAGAAAGAACATCTAGAGTTAACGCTTGAAACACTTGCAATAATTTTTTTTTTTTTTTTTTTTTTTTTTTTTTTTTTTTTTTTTTTTTTCTGATGGATTTCAACTTTTTTCAGTTGCAAATCCTCAACTCAAAAGAAGAAATCCAACAGAGAAAAGAGGCTAACATCATAGCCGTAAAGTAGTAGCTAAGACAGTAATAGCTTTTGCGATAATTATTTCTGTTTAACCATATTAAGAATGAAAATCCATCTTTCGAGTTCATTAAATTCTTGAGATTAAATACAGAGGGTACATTTTTAGACGATTTTGTTTTATTGTAAAAGAACATCTTCTGCTTGGAAAACACTTTTTTTTTTAACTACAGCTACTTTTTTGAAAGCATAAATTATCGTCTGCGACTTCAATTTTGTTTTCATGCGAAATGCCACTTTTGAAGAAGCAATGGATGAAACGCTATGGTTGTGTTTTTTCGAAGAAAATCGAATCTAGTTATTAACAAACGATGTGAAAGCCATGGTTTTTCAATATCTAAATCTACGATAGGCAATGTTGTCAACAACAAAGAAGGGAAAACGCCGTGCTTCAAGTGGAAATATTATTCCAAATACGACTCCGACTATCCGAATCGCTGTTAAAATTTAAGAAAAAAAATTAAGACGAGTGGTACGACGAGATTTTGATCCCTGAAGTGAAAAAGCACCAAAAATCCCTTGGAAAAGTGCTTGGAAGAAGTTGATAGGCGTATCAACTGAAGAACAGAAGGAAAAAGAGAAAAAGGAAAAAGAAGCTCAAACGAAAGGAAAGATACAGAAAGAGATGAGGATGACGTGTCACTTGAGGAATTAAGAAACACTCTTATGAAAATTCCTAGATGTTCAGAAGTTAAATGCTGAGGATACAGCAGAATGGATGGTATATGATTCGTCAAGACTTTGGGTTTCAAATTCTGAATGATGATAAACTTATTGAAAGCGTGAGAGAAGAAAATGCCGAGGAAGATGATGACCTTAATGTCAAAGTTGAAGCAAACACGGAATATCAACTAGTGAAGCGTTTACTTGCCTAGAAACTGCGTTAAAGTGGACGGAGCGTCAGCCCGAGTGTGACCGGTTACAGCTGAAAACATCGCGGCAAAAACATCGCGGACGAAAACGTCGCGGAGAAAACAACGCAAGGCGAAAACGTCGTGCTACAAAACATCGTGGGAGAAAACATCGCAAAGAGTTCTAAAACATCGCAGGTCTAAAACATCGTCGTCGTCGAAAATAAAGCCGTTCAAAAACTTCGCAGTTTGAAAACATCGTCTTCGAAAATATCGTGGTAAAAAATAAAGTATCTACAAATCATTGCATGACGATAACATCGCATTCATGCTTTATTTTTTTCAGGCTTTTTTTAGATTATACTTTTCATGAAAAATTACCAGTAAAAGCTTAAAAAAGTAATTTATTAATTACCTTTGTTAGTTAACTATGTCGGTGTAAAATTCTGTTAAGTGCTATAAGTTGCATTACTTTTCTATGCTTAAAATTTCTTTTTATTTTACCAGCAAAAATGTATTAGTTAATAAAAAATATGAAAGTAAAAATTATCCTTCTTTCCATCTTGCGCTCAATCATTATAGGAATATCCATTTACAATTACTATTAAAGCCTGAAAAAAAAACGTAAACTGTTGCCTTTTCATTTAATTAAAACGTCTTTTTCTTTAAAAATAGTTTTTGTCTTCTATTTTCAACATACAGTATATACAGTAAGTAATTAAATAGTACAAAACCCTTTCTTCGTAAAAATTAAAATTATCCGAATTTTTGATTATCCGAATGGGGTCCGGTCCCAATTGATTCGGATAGCTGGAGTTCTACTGTACGTACCCAAGGAAAAAAACGGATCCTTGCAAAAGGATCCTTTCGATTGTTCAAAAGTAAGAACTTTAATGTTAAAAGAAAATCTGCCAAGTCATAAGACACTTGCAAAATTATTAAAATGTTCAGTGTCAATTGTAAACAAAGTGATTAATTCCGATTTGAATCTTCAAGAGGCAAAAAAAAGTACTGTGCATCATCTTGCTCCAGGACATATCGCCAAATGCAGAACGCGCTGTAGAATTCTTTATGAGAGAGATTTATCTAGACAAAAATGGGGAAACTTTGTCACAATAGACGCATCTTGGCGGTTTCAATGACTGCAAAAAGAAATAAGGTGAGATCCATTTACAGAGGCTGATTGCACATTTTTAGACCATTTTGGTAAGCGGTAATAAAACCTCGTTTGCTGCAAAAGAAGTAATTGCAATTGTACTATTCTTTTAAAAGTCAAAGTTATCGTCTGTGTCTTGAAAATTTTGTTTTTATTCAAAATGGCGAATTTAACAAAGCAGTGGTTCGAAGGCTACATTTACGCCTTCGAACAAAGTGATTAATTCGATTTGAATCTTCAAGAGGCAAAAAAAAAGAAGAAAAAGTACTGTGCATCATCTTGCTCCAGGACATATCGCCAAATGCAGAACGCGCTATAGAATTCTTTATGAGAGAGATTTATCTGGACAAAAATTGGAAAACTTTGTCACAATAGACGAATCTTGGTGGTTTCAATGACTGCAAAAGAAATAAAGAGAGATCCATTTACAGAGGCTGTATGCACATTTTTTAGATCATTTTGGTAAGCGGTAATAAAAACTCGTTTGCTGCAAAAGAAGTAATTGCAATTGTACTATGTTTTTAAGAGTCAAAGTTATCGTCTGTGGCTTGAAAGTTTTGTTTTTATTCAAAATGGCGAATTTACAAGCAGTTTTCGAAAGCTACTTTTACGCTTTTTCCGAAGAGAAATATGCATACTCCGTTATCCCACGATTGAAGTCATGATTTATAATATCTAAGCGTCGATAGCATCACAAGAAAAGAAAAACAAAAAAAAAAAAAAAAAAAAAAAAAAAAAAAAAAAAAAAAAAAAAAAAAAAAAAAAAAAACAAAAAAAAAAAAAAAAAAAAAAAAAAAAAAAAAAAATCTTGGAGACTATCTTGTCGAAGGTACGTTGTTTAATTTAAAAGAAAATCCTCTACAAAGCACATTGCAAAATCATTATTCCTCCATGTCCACTGTCACAAAATGATACACGTGATTTCAATTTAAGAAAGCGAAAAACAAACGCAATGTGTATACGTCTTCCTTCCAGAAGCATAACGCAAAAAAAAAAAAAAAAAAAAAAAAAAAAAAAAAAAAAAAAAAAAAAAAAAACAACGCAGGACACGATGGCAAGTAGAAAGAAAAAAATGTCGACAATCCAAGATAGCATGGTGTTTTACGCCGAGCCTTTATACACCATAAGTAACCATTCACAGTCCATTCTTATGGATTCCATATTGTGCTCTCACCCTCAATTAAAAATCCACTGTCAAGATTAACTCCCTAAACTAGAAATGGACCTGCCAAAGAAACTCAGGACTAGAGGCCACTGACCTTCACTATACCCTTCACCCTACGAATCTCCCGATGTGTCACCTATGGAGTTTGTGCTTCGGACTTTTAAAACTGCATTATCGGAAGTTGTCCCAACCCTAACAGACTCTGGAAAGCTTTCGGTGATATGGGATACCTCTTCTACCACTTCAAAAAGGCTATTATCCTGGAAATTGCGTGTCGAAATACGGTTCAGATAAGGGATCGTCTAAAAACTGTGAACAAACACCCTACTCGTCTATTGGGAACAGCCTCTGTATTTTCATCAAAAAGGGGGGGGAAGTCTTAAAACATGGTTCTAAGAATCTAAAAAAAGTTTTTCTTTGGGAATTATGATTATTGGTGGTTTTTCATATAACGGCAAAGTAAATGTAAAAGAGATTTACGAACTGTAGCAGATGACACAGACAGCAATTCCACCAGCATTGATTGCTTTCAGCCTTAGAAAGTAGAACAAGAAGAAGAAAAGGCGAGATTCAAAATACAATCAGAAATTGAGGTATATTATTAGAAACTAGCGCAAGTACCCGATGCCAGTTAAGTTAGATTCAGTGTAATCTAACAGCAAAGAGCTGTTACAAAGATTATAGCATACCGCTGTAATCTTTCTCTAATTACGATGCAAAAAATACGATTCATAGTCAACACATTTTTCAGCCTAATGCGATATGGAACCCACATAAGGTATTTTGATAGAAAAATAAACTAAATCTGTCTCGTTATATCACCAACAATGGCACGCAGCTGTTAATGATTTTCGACTTTCTAATCAAATGGTCGTAAAAGCTCAAGTTCTCTCCAATATTTCACTTATATTCAATTTTATTCGATTAAATATGGCCAAAAATCGATCATAATTGATCAAAAATTAATAACGTGAAAAAACCAACACACAAACATGCATAGATTTTGTAAAACTATATATGTCTATATTAGTTTACAATATTTTTGCAAACTAATATAGACATATATAGTTTTAAAAAATATTTAGTTTGTTAATTTTATATTTATATTTAGTTTGTTAATATTTGATTAACAAACTGTACGATTTGAAAACGAGCAGTGGCAACACTTTCCTAAATAAAACATTTTTATATCCAACGCCCGAGACAGTTGCCACTTGGAAAAATGATTGCGAAAATTTGCGCTTTCATAGTTTTTGATTAGTATTTCGGTTGATTAAATTGTACGAAGATGGAAATAATCGAAATGAATTACCACGAATTTTTGGAATCGGGAATAATGTATTTAATGCTTGGCAATGCTATTTTTAATTCATCGTAAAACTTCGAAATTTTTTATTAACAAACTCTACGATTTGAAAGCGAGCAGTGGCAACACTTCTCGAAATAAAGGAGTTTTTTTTTTTTTATCTCCAGCGTGCGAAACTGTTGCCACTCGGAAAAATGAGGGCAAAAATTAGCGTTTTCAGATTTTTTAATTAATATCTCTGATTTTAACTAATTCTTTTGGGGGGGAAGTGGACGTCGACCTTTCCCAGGACCCAGAAGAGAATTATAGAAAGTTTGGTGATGATAGCTATAGTAGTGACTGAGTTAATCGCGAACAAAAACGCAAACAGATATTCTTCTTTATATATTTAGATTATAATGTTAATTTTACAGAATATTCTTGCTGGAATGTAGGTTTCATTCAAATAAGTATGATAATTACCGGCAGTTAATTGATAAAAACTTCTCATTTCTTATGTTCTAACCGTAATTATGTCCTTGGGAAATTAAATTATTCGTAAAATTTTTATCTCGTAGAATTTATAATTATTTTTATTATAGATTTTTAACAGCTTTCAAATATTTGTTTAACTAAGTAACAATCTGTTTACTTCTTTTCCTCTTCTGTGAAGGGTTCGACAACAAAATGATCCAAAATCCAGCATAGCTTGGGAAGATTCTCGATCACAGCTGACTTTGCCTCCGAAAGTCGCGTCCCCCGCAGAGACCAACGTGCTGTGGGAACGAAATGAAAATGCGCTTATCGATGAAGAAGAAACGAGTGAAGGTGACGAAGAAGATGATGAAGATGATCACCAGCTTGCGAGAGTGCTATTAGACTCTAGTTTTCCGACGTCGGTGCTACTTCATTCATCTAAGTAAGTACATCATACATTTAACTTTACCCAACGAAGTCCTACTACGTTTTCTCGTTTCACTTTTCATATCTTTCCCACTTTTGAATATTCTGAAGATAAAATATGAATATAAACTGGTTTTTATTCACATTATTCTCATATAGGCGTCAAGCTTCTATTTCCAGCCTTCGTACAGTACCAATAGTACCAAGTACTTTTCAAATCTAAGATTAAAACAGAAATACAGTCAAAAACATCAAACCAGAATTCCCAGTATTGTTTTATTGCCTTTTATAAAGTTCATCAAAACCTTTTCAAATCTAAGATTAAAACAGAAATACATTCAAAAACATCAAACCAGAATTTCCAGTATTGTTCTATTGCCATTTATAAAGTTCATCAAAACCTTTTCAAATCTAGGATTAAAACAGAAATACATTCAAAAACATCAAACCAGAATTTCCAGTATTGTTCTATTGCCATTTATAAAGTTCATCAAAACCTTTTCAAATCTAGGATTAAAACAGAAATACATTCAAAAACATCAAACCAGAATTTCCAGTATTGTTCTATTGCCATTTATAAAGTTCATCAAAACCTTTTCAAATCTAGGATTAAAACAGAAATACGGTCAAAAACATCAAACCAGAATTTCCAGTATTGTTCTATTGCCATTTATAAAGTTCATCAAAACCTTTTCAAATCTAGGATTAAAACAGAAATACATTCAAAAACATCAAACCAGAATTTCCAGTATTGTTCTATTGCCATTTATAAAGTTCATCAAAACCTTTTCAAATCTAGGATTAAAACAGAAATACATTCAAAAACATCAAACCAGAATTCCAGTGTTGTTCTATTGCCATTTATAAAGTTCATCAAACCTTTTCAAATCTATGATTAAAACAGAAATACATTCAAAAACATCAAACCAGAATTTCCAGTATTGTTCTATTGCCATTTATAAAGTTCATCAAAACCTTTTCAAATCTAGGATTAAAACAGAAATACATTCAAAAACATCAAACCAGAATTTCCAGTATTGTTCTATTGCCATTTATAAAGTTCATCAAAACCTTTTCAAATCTAGGATTAAAACAGAAATACATTCAAAAACATCAAACCAGAATTTCCAGTATTGTTCTATTGCCATTTATAAAGTTCATCAAAACCTTTTCAAATCTAGGATTAAAACAGAAATACATTCAAAAACATCAAACCAGAATTTCCAGTATTGTTCTATTGCCATTTATAAAGTTCATCAAAACCTTTTCAAATCTAGGATTAAACAGAAATACATTCAAAAAACATCAAACCAGAATTTCCAGTATTGTTCTATTGCCATTTATAAAGTTCATCAAAACCTTTTCAAATCTAGGATTAAAACAGAAATACATTCAAAAACATCAAACCAGAATTTCCAGTATTGTTCTATTGCCATTTATAAAGTTCATCAAAACCTTTTCAAATCTAGGATTAAAACAGAAATACATTCAAAAACATCAAACCAGAATTTCCAGTATTGTTCTATTGCCATTTATAAAGTTCATCAAAACCTTTTCAAATCTAGGATTAAAACAGAAATACATTCAAAAACATCAAACCAGAATTTCCAGTATTGTTCTATTGCCATTTATAAAGTTCATCAAAACCTTTTCCAATCTAGGATTAAACAGTATCAAAAACAAGAAAATCTAGATAAAACAGAAATATTCAAAAACATCAACCAGAATTCCTATAAAGTTCTATCTGCCATTTCATCAAAATTCTTCAAAATCTAGGATTAAAACAGAAATACATTCAAAAACATCAAACCAGAATTCCAGTGTTGTTCTATTGCCATTTATAAAGTTCATCAAAACATTTTTCAAATCTAAACAGTGGTCGAATCTATTATTTGCGACAGTGGAATTCCTTTACGTTACCATGTTTTCCCCTAACATGTCGCAATAATATGCACTCTTCGACGAAATGTCGAGCAATGCCTTCAGCACTACGAAGACTATTGTTTTGTACATCAAATCTTTTCAGGTGTGCTGGAAAAAGCCCGTGTCCAGTAATTATTCGATTGTGATCAAAATCACATATCATTCTCATATTTTTAGACACTTTAAAGTTCAACAAATAATCTTTCCTTTTCCCCGAAATGTCCCATTTCTCTTTCCAGCAATCATAAGAGAAATCCTTGTTTTTACCAATAACAATTCTTTTTGATGCTTGAATATCGAATGCACCCTCGGCATTACTCATAGTAGCCTCTTTGGCCAGCATGTCGGCCCTCTCATTTGTCTATACTATAACACTAGTATGGGCTTTCACCCAGTTCATTTTCACTTCATGTATTTTCTTAACTTTTACAAGGAAATCTTTTATATATGAGATCAAAACATTGGTGTTAAAACAACTTTCCCATATGGGGAAACGTGGAACATAAAAAATCTTTAAATTACGTCCAAAGGCGCGTTTTTTTAACATTTTGTTTTTAACATTATTTATTTATTAAATATCATGTTCTTCGCACTTAAACCATAAAATTCGGTTCAAGAGCAATGTCGCAAAATAATTTTAAATTGAGCATATCTTCATATATATAATTTCCGATACACAGTCTCACGCGCTGAGATAATGTTTTCTTTCTCTACAACTTTGCCATTGCTCGCTTTGAAATCCTTGACAAAACAAATTTCAAATTTGGACTTCCAGATGCTCATATTCGCAGCAGGATTACGTATTCAAAATTGGATGGCTCTAGGTACCGTTGTTTTATCACAATGCGAGAAAGGTACATACATTTATGGACATTCTTCATTATTTAACTTCCTCAAATATAATACAGGGCAGTAATATTTGGTGGCAACAGTTTGAAAAATGAAACGTACATTTAGAGTAATTCGGCCTAATCTTTGGAATATGGTAACAGGCAGTTTGGCGACATTTTGGTAAGGCGATAAAGGTTACTTAGCTAGGACTTTAGCAGTGTACATGGATAAAGTCAAGAGTGTGCGCAATGCCATTTTTGTGCAATTCTGGGATGCTTTTTTAAGTGAAAATAGGTCGACGTGTACATGGATACCGTGTATGTGCAATTCTTAAAAACGCGGTAAGCAGTTTGCGATTCTGCACTTTCTCCCAATTTCGCACCTAATCTTAGTCATAATTAAGCACTTTTGTTCCATAAAAGTTCCAGTATAAGCGTAATTCGGCTAGCAGATTGTTGGAAAAAAATGTTAAGTTAAAAAAAAAATTGCCTTTTTTTCGTGAAAACAAAATGGCGTCCAAACAAAAACTAGCAGGTTGCTGTAGCAGGGTTGGTCGCCAAATTTTCGTCAAACAATCGCCGAGTTACCATAATCCAAAGATAACCGTAATTCGATGCATAATCGCAAAATGAAAACAATAATCCCTCAGGGACAAAACCCCTTTGGACTTAAAATAAAAATAAAAAAAAAAAAAAAAAAAGACAGATGAATATCTCCTGTTCTGCTGGGCGAAATCTAACGGATTCTGCTAACGAAATTCAAATTGTGTTTTTTATGTCACGTAATCGCGACTTAAGATATATATTAGATTTATATATAGTATTGTTCTAACTTAGGTATTTTGACACAAAATCTTTTTCTGAAATGACATGCCACGTTTTTTCCATAGTCCGATTCTACGTTTCAAATTACGCCTAAATATTAAATTTTGTAAGCTTTAATGTGAAATTTACTGAGAAATTCAAAACTTTATCTTGGCCACTTTTTTTTTTTTTTTTTTTTTTTTTTTGGAGTGCGCCAAAAATAATCCACTAGGCGAACTTCTGAACTTATAGCAACCTATTTTCATTTATTTTTTTCATTGCAGACGAGCGGAAAAAAAGTCATCGTTTATACTTTCAAATAATTTTAACAAAATGCGTAAACTACATTTAGCGTTATTATGGCATATAACAAATATTCCAAATTTCAAAACGTGCCAATATGTAAATCCATGTATATATTAGGAAATTTTGAATAAAAAACTAATTTTTTGTACGTATGTTTAGAAATATATCTACTCGAGGATGATGGTAAACATTTTATAGGTTGTAATTCGAAACATTTTTCGAAAAATTTATAAAAGTTATTTTAAAATACAAATTTTTAAAATAAATCATTAAAAAATTCGAAATTTCGAAATGCGAAAGGAAGAATCAAAAAAGTTTAATTAAAAAAAAATTCAAATAACATTGAGGAGTTAAAATTTTGATAGCTAATCGTTTAAAAACTACACCTGCGATTTTTACAAAACTTGGCAAGCTGGTATAATTTGAAACGTAGAATCGAAATATGGGAAACAAAAAATTGGCATGCCATTTCAGAAAATGTCCGATTTTGTGTCAAAATACCTATGTTAGAACAATGCTATATATAAATCTAATACATATCCTAAGTCGCGCTTTCGAGACATGAAAAACGCAGTTTGAATTCCGTTAATTGGCCCAATAGAACGGGAGATGCAGAGTGTCCTTTCCCCCCCCCACAGGTACCAGCGGCGTAACTCAAAGCATGCATAGAAGAATTTCCTACATTCTCCTCAAATGATAAGACTGACCTGACCTCGATTAAGAGGTGACAAGTTGTCTAACCGATTATCCTTCGAACGACACTATCGAGTTTATTAGATCTTTTAAGAACATATATGAAAAATCAAACACCTCAATCTCTGGAATTTGAACCACATATGAGGATCACTCTGAAGTTTTTGAGATACACAAAGGTTTTTAAAGTTGTACTTACGAAACTTTAGGAGTGTTCAAAGTAGTCCCATGCATTTCTGTAGGTCAATTCACCGAAGATTAAATGCTTCCAGCCATCTCGGAATCAATGAAAAAAAAAATGCATTGATAGTTATTTATATAGCCTCTTTTTTCTGCGTGATGTCTAGGCAATGTCGGGTACTTCAGCTAATTTATTTAATATTTCCTATAAATATTTACTACTCATTATTCTGTTTCCTGAACATTCAATACATATAGAACATTATTTTTGATTTCACATAAACAAAATCAAGAGATAAAATTTTTAGATTTTTCATAATTGCTTTATTTACCTAATATCCTTGGTTGTCGTCAGTATTCAAATTTCTTCTTTTTCATATGTATTAAGTAACTGTGAAAGAAAATTCGGCAATTAAAAAATAAAGCAATCGGTGACAAAGTTTAGATTGCTCTAGTTGTTCACACCACCAGAATTTTTATTACTTCCCGATTTTATAAAACCTGCTCAAGCTTGGAAAAAAATTATTCTCTATTATTTATTATTACGTCACGCAGAAAAATCGTCCAAATGGATTCGAGAACGGTCAAAATGGGTATTTCTATTTAAATATGACAACCGGAATTTTTCGCGAAGAATAAAAGAAAAACTCTTAACATATTAATATGTTGCCATATCAGTTAAATGCTTAAACATTTAAACAAAATTTGTGTGTTCTTTATTAACTTTAAACATGAACAAATAGGTAGCATAATTTTATTTGGCGTAAAAAGGAAATTAACCAGCCCCGATAATTGGATTGTTAGATAACTGGATTCCGGATAACTGATCTGGTCTGGTTTGGTTTGGTTTATGTGATTACGTCAAAGTCTCGAGGGCTATCTGCCTAAGAGAAAGGATGCCTTCGAGGAGGACTTTCTATGGGAAACTGCCTCGTATACACATTACATATGAGAAAAGTCACGAATAGGCCCATGCAGCCAGCCCGTTCGCGGGATTCGAACCTCAGACCGAACTACCAGTTTTCAGCGACTTTACCGCTCGGCCGCTGGTGGGCCATTCCGGATAATTGGAGTTTCACTGTTCTTCCTATAGATTCCTTCTATTCGAATGATTGGATTATTTATTCATAATCCCTTCAGTCGCTAAATGGAATCTCGAAAGATTCTTGACACATTCCGCTGAAAACGAATACGAAATGAACGATACGTATAAATTCTTTGCAAATACGTAGCGTATTCGGGAACTAAGTACCATTTCATTCTAGCGCCGTCGCAGCGCTGTGGTAGGCGTCCCGCGCATGCGCACTAGTCTTTCTTGTTCACCGACTTTCAACTGTCGCCATTTTGGTTGCTCTATGTTGTGTTTTCAGTTTAAGACATTCAAAATGTTTGCACATTCAAAATGTTTAAGACAATTAGTTCTCCCGCTGACTGCGAGATTCGTGCCGTGATTAAATTTTTTAACGCGAGGAATGTTAAACCGGCCGAAATTTATCGTCAACTGACAGAAGTTTACGGTGAATACGCGATAAATGATGGAATGGTGAGAAAGTGGGTAAGAATGTTTAATGCAGGTCGAACAAATGTCCACGCCGAGGCTCGAAGTGGTCGGCCATCTGTTGTCACCGATGATTTGGTAAGGAAAGTTGATGAAGCAATTCATGAGAACAGACGCTTCACAATGACAACTCTTTCAGAGGCATTTGCACAAATTTCCCGTACTGTTTTGTTCGAAATTGTGTCTGACCGCTTGAATTATCGTAAACTGTGTTCCCGATGGGTTCCAAAAATGCTCACTGATGTTCACAAAACAAAGCGACTTGGTAGTGCCCTGACATTTCTCACGCGGTACAGTGATGAGGGAGAAAACTTTTTAAACCAAATTGTGACAGGTGATGAAACTTGGGTGTGTGATTTCACACCAGAATCGAAACAACAATCGATGGAGTGGAGACACACACATTCTCCCAAAAAACATAAGTTCAATGTGACAATGTCATCACAAAAAATCATGTGGATCAAGGAAATGCATAAAATAACTAACTAGTATAAAATTCAGAAAAGTGTTGCTCAAAATAGTGTTCCCCCTTTTTGTTGGATTACATATTATACCTTGTAGAAACATTGGGATTTCTGATAGCAAAAGACGTGAAAACTGTGAAGTGTCCTCCCCGGGAATCGAATCCCGGACCTCTCGAATACGCGCCGAGCGTGCTGACCATTGCACCATGAAAGCATAATAAGAAGGCGGGAGAAATACCTTATATACTCCCCGTTTCAAAGGGCGACTGGAAATTATGAGACTCAATCGCCAAATCCTGGTGGTGGAAAATCATCATCTTTTTTTATTTCAGACGACCACTATAGAGACATTGGGTATTTTTTATACCGAAGACATGGAAAATATGCTATGCACTCGCAGGGACTCGAACCAAGGACCTCTCGAAAACGCACCGAGTTTGCTGACTACTTAATAACCTATCAAATTAACGTGGTTAATAACACTTAATAGCTGTCTTGCTTTCAGTAAAGATATCACGTATTTATAGCATCTACGTACATAGTATTTTTACTTTGTCTTCGAAATGAAAAATCTGAGGTTCGTAATTAAACCTCCAGATGGGGTCTTCACCATAACCATTCATATATTTTAAAGATCCCTCCAGACTAAAATTCTGAAAAAAGTTGATTCAGGAAAAATTTCTACATTTGAACGTAAAATATTAAAAGCAATGCAAATTGTTTACTTATAACATATAAATAAAAGTCTGATGTCAGCACCGCATGACTTCCTTGTACGGCATGTTAAATTATAACCATTTCTTGATGCGCTTCATTTAAACTGATTTCCTCGAATTATTCTAATTTCATTAACCGAAGTTGCTACACGCAAGTTGAAAAATGACCTCAAAAATTTCAAATTTTGAAATTAAATATCCTGGTAATTTTTTGACATACGACAGTCAAACTTCTAATAATTTTATTTTTTTTTATAACGAGTATCAAACTTTCACAAATATAAATATCGAAACCAACCGAGTTCATTAAAAATTGGACTTCGTTGTTTCTCAAAAATTATTTTTTTCTTTTAATTTGACCTTGCTAAAACCCAAATATTTTCGTCATTTAAAATTTCGTAATTGGAAGACTATGACCTATGGACAAGTTGGACTACGACCACGAGTTGGATTATGACTACTACCAGCGATTGCGAAAACCAAGGACTTTTAAGCTGGACTTACAATAATTTGAATTTCTCACTGAAGTATTTTATTACTTCACAGAATTCTCTTTATTTAAAGTACAAGACTCTAACTAGAATTTACTTTGTTTTTTCCCCCTTGCTTTGGGGAGAAGCCAGAATTTTCCGCTGAACTATTATAATTAAAATACACTGAAATGGTTCATGGGCTAATTCTGGATACAGAAAAGCAAGGACTTCTGTGGAAGAGAGACTTCAAATGATTTCAATGTTCCTCCTCCTGACGAAGTGGCATTGAAGTTGATTGAATTCCTCTTCTGTTATTTCCATTTTTCTCTAAATTTCATTCATTTTTCTAAATTGGGATATTGCTTGTTTGAAAAGTTTTAGTTTTAACATTTTTTTAATTCCTTTTTTTTTCATTTATAGAATTATTTGAAATTTATTACTTATGAATTTAATTTTTTGGTCTTTGTGAAAAATTAGTTCTAAATTTCTAACTTTATGTATTTACCGATACTTTTTTAGCAGCTTAATGCGCGAAAATACTAAAACATGATTGTTCTTTGTTGTTTAAAAAATTGCTTTGTAAATTATATATATAACTACAAAACAATTCTTTTGAAAATAAAACACAAACATTCCTAGTATTTTCGCGCATTAAGCTGCAGAAAAATTATCGATAAAGATATAAAGTAAGGAATTTAGAACTGATATTTTTCACAAAGAAATTGAAATCCATATTTAATAAATTTCAAATAATCATATAAATGCAACAAATAATTCTAAAACGTTAATACCAAATTATTTCAAACAAGCAAACCCCACTTCAAAAAATGAATAAAATTTAAAATAAAATGAACAAAAACAGAAAAGGAATTCAATCAATCTCAATGTCACTTCGTCAGGGGGGGGACTTTGAAATTAATTGAAGTCTCTCTTCTACAAAAATCCTTGCTTTTTTGTATCCAGAACTAGCCGATCAATGTATTTTAATTATAATTATAATAGTTCACCCGAAAATTCTGGCCCTTCCCCCAAAGCAAGGAAAAAAACAAATTAAATTCTAATTAGAATAATCTTAAATAAAAAGAGAGCCCTTTTAAAAGAATTGAAAACGAAAGTGAAAAAAAAGTAAATTTCTTACTATATATATATGTAATAATAAAATTCCATAGTCAAGAATACACTTAAAATTCTAACTGTATGTTCTTTTCATTTTTAATGACGACGGTCTCTTATTTCAAAGTACGTGGAATTAAATCCACAGCCCCGTAGTCAAGTTATTTTTTCCGCCTTTTCTACACGTACAGTTTTAGAATGTTCTGGAGTTATTTAAAGCGAACTAGATTGGCTGACGTCAATTCTTCGAAGCTCCGCCTTTCCAGAGGCTATAAAGGAACTCGCAAAAGGAATATCGGGGCTTTTTCTTAAATGTCACGATGCAGTAAACTTCATACAAAAAGTTATTAGTAATTCTTTTTATTTACTCCGGATATCTGATTTTGTAACTGCTATTTCTCCTGAATAATAATAAATGGATCCTGTTTGTTTTTTAAACTTATCGTCTGATAATTTAAGCTACGACAAAAGCTAGTACATCACACACACACACACACATATATATATATATATACACAGTTTTAATATATTGCTGATTGCAATAAAAAGGGGAAGTGCACGTTATAGCAGTCCCATATACAAAATTTCAACGTTCTACGGCTAATCGTTTTTCAGTTATGCGGGGTGTATACACATATAGTACATTCATACGTATGGTGAGTACAGACGTCACGATTCGAGAACGGCCAAAAATGGATATTTCTATTGAAATATGACACCCAAAATTTTTCGCAATTACAATACTTCTTTTTTTTTCGCACGAAGAAGTAAAAAGCGAATAATTATGTTTCATTTTATTATAAGTAATTGAAATTAAAATGATATTTTGATAATTTAGGTGGCACCAAGAATCGCCAGAACAGGAATCTTTAGTGGAATCGTACAGTTCAACTAGCACTGCCACTTTCAATCGCTACCGAACGAGACTTAGTGCCAGCACTGGTGACTTAGCAGCTATGCAAGCTAGAGAGGATCCCTGGATGAAAGTTGGTCTCTTACCATTTCCCAGAGTTCGTTCCTTGGACGATATGCGAGATTTGCGTAGGGATTCTTGGACAGCTAGCGACAACAAAGATAAAATTGAGTCCATGGAACTCACCGATAATCTGAGTGGCATATGGAAATCCTCCTACACCATGGATGAAATGAGGCTACTTGCGATGAGCAAGGAAGACATTGTCAAATTGTGGCAAGGTTCTGAACGTGCCTTGCTAAACAGACTACAGGACACTCTAAAAGAGAAGCGCCTCTTGGAGCAAAAGCTTGCCTTCATACAAAAAACGCTGCTTAAGCCTCCGTGAAATAATTACGAAAGGTTGGCAACATCATACAAAAGCAATGTAACGTATCTTTTGACAATTTTAAATATATCAAAAGTGGCATGAAACCATCTCAGTCTCGCCCTTGCTAGAGAACTAGAGTACAGTTTTAGAAGAATTTTAGAGACCAGATCGAAATGGAGCTTTATGATATAGAAATCGACTTCTTACTACTAGCCCGATAAATATTTAAAGTATAAAGAGCAAGATATTTTTAAAGTTATACAAATATATAGCCCGTAGCTAAAACAAAACCTTCAAGGAGATGTGCCTAGAAAAAATAATAAACATTAGATCCTAGAAATATATTAAGATATTCAATACTATATTTGGCATGTCTTCAAATGAAAACTTATTTCAAAACGGAAATATTGTTTTGTCCCCCCCCCCGATTTTATATTATTTTAGAGGTAATTAATTCAAAGACTGGCACTTTTTCAACTGAAAACTCATTTTTAAAAAGAAAAATAGTTCTTTTTTTTCTGATTAGAAGTTATTTTAGAAATACTCTTCTGTCCATTAGTAAGATCTCTCACAAAAAGAAAGAAAATATAATTCTTAACAAGCAGATATAAAAGTAATTAATTCAAGATTAGCACATCTTCAAATGAAGATTTATTTCAGAAAAGAAAAATAGTTTTTTTTCCCCCTGATTAGAAGTTATTTTAGAAATAACGCTTATGTTTATTAGTAACATTCAGATCTCTAACAAAAAGAGAGAAAATCTAATTCTTAACAAGCAGATATAAAATTAATTAATTAATTCAAGATTCCAATTAAATCCTAAGTTAATGGCATCTGCGTTAAGAAAAAATGAAACGCCATCTTTACAATACACATCAACAATAATATTAAGATTAAAAATTAAGACAGATGTAAAAAGAATATTTTAAGGTATTAGGATGTCAAAATTTTTAAAATTTATGAAAGAGAGTAAATTTTTTTAAAACGAAATATATACAAATGCTTATTGATAATGCGTCAAAATATTAAACAAAGAAATATCTAATATTACTTTCATATTGTAGAAGTTGTAAAAGATAAAATTATAGGCCGAGCATTGGAAGAATATATGTAAAAGACAAATGTATTAGTAATTTATGTAAAATGTAAACCTACGTATTGCTTCTTTTATTATACAAATATATGGAGAGTTACAGCAAATATAAAATTATTCTCAAATAATCCATTAAAATATATGTTTTTAATTATATTCAGAAAACGTATATCATCTAGAAATTACACTAACAGAAGGCCTTTTTCGCAAATTGTTATTTAAACAGTACAGATGCAGATGTTACCTAGATAACAAAAAATGTCCATTTTGCACACAAAAAATAAATAATAAATAAATAAATAAAAATAATATATATATATATATATATATATTGTAATAATAAAATTCAAGTCAAGAATACACTTAAAATTCTAACTGTATGTTCTTTTCATTTTTAATGGCGACGTTCTCTTATTTGAAAGTACGTGGAATTAAATCCACAGCCCCGTAGTCAAGTTGTTTTTCCCGCCTTTTCTACACGTACAGTTATAGAATGTTCTCGAAATATTTAAAGCGAACTGGATTGGCTGACGTCATTTCTTGGAAGCTCCGCCTTTCCAGAGGCTATAAAAAGACTCGCAAAAGAATATCGGGGCTTTTTATTAAATGTAACTATGCAGTAAACTTCATACAAAAAGTTATTAGTAATTCTTTTTTATTTACTCCGGAAACATTATTTTGTAACTACTATTTCTCCTGATATAATAAATGGATTCTGTTTTTAAACTTATCGTCTGATAATTTAAGCTACGACTACATCTATATTTCTTCAACGATCTATTTATTCTGGACAAAAGCTGATACATCATATATATATATATATATCTTTTTCTACTGGACCGATTGTCGAAATTTAACTTGCATTTTCCATGTTTCCAAAGCTCAACTTAGATTATATTAGATAATATTTATATATAGCATTGTTCTCGCATAAGTATTTTGACACAAAATCGGACTTTTTCTGAAACAACATACCATTTTTTCCCATATTTCGATTCTACGATTCAAATTATGCCAAAGCGCCAAGTTTTGTAGTTTTGTAAAAATCGCACAAGTAGTTTTTAAAAAATTAGCTTTCAAAATTTTAGCTCTTCCATGTTAATTGGATTTGGTATATATTTACAATTACCTCTTTTTTAATTAAACTTACTTGATTTTTCTTTCGCATTCTGAAATATAGGTTCATTCCAAATAAAATTCGCCCATTTTTTATAATTTATTTTTCAAATTTGGTTTTTTTAAATAATTTTTATAAAGATTTCGAAAAGAATTTTGAATTATAACCTATAAACTTTTTACCATCATCTTAAAGTACATGGATTTCTAAGCGTACATGCAAAAAAATTAGATTTTCTTTATTCAAAATTTCCTAAGATATACGTGAATTTACATATTGGTGCGTTTTGAAATTTGTCATATTTGTTATAAGTGATAATAACGCCAAATGTGGTTTACGCACTTTGTTAAAATTATTTGAAGTAGGAACGATAACCTTTTTTCCGCTGTGTACAATGAAAAAAACGAAAAGAAAATAGGTTCTATGAATGAAGAAGTTCGCCAAGTGAATTATTCTTGGCGCAAACTAAAAAAAACGCGCCAAGATAATTTTTTTTTAAATTTCTTGCCAAAAATTATGAAATTTAATATCTAGGCATAATTTGAGTCATAGAATCGAAATATGGAAAAAAAATTAGAATGCTACTTCATAAAAAATCCGAATTTTTGTCAAAATATCTACGTTAGAATAATTCTATATATAAACGTAATATCTAGACTAGGTCGCGCTTTCGAGACGTAGAAAACGCAAGTTAAATTTCAACAATCGTCCCAGTAGAACGGGAGATATACGTAGAATTGTCCAATTTTTTTTGTGTGCAAGATGTACTTTACATGTTGTGTTATATTACAGGTAAGTTGTAATAAAATGACAAAAAATTATATTATACTATATCAATAGCGAAATTAACCTATTTAATTCAAATTGAAATTTAGATTAGGTACTTAAGAACTTAAAATATCATTACACAGTTCTTTTACAAATACACAAACGATGTTTTTCTTTTAGATGAAAAAAATAATACAGTGTCTCAAAAAAGTGATGGGACACTTGTGCTTTACAAAAGGAAACTGCAATAAAATAAATTTAAAAAACATGTAAAATTTTTTGTGGGTGTGTTTCATACTTAAATTTAGTAACAATTGTTACATAACATACATTTTCTCAAATATTAAAATATTAATTTAATAAAAATACAATTGTTTAGAACGGAGCAGAAAAATGGCTCACTTAAGTGATGGGACACTTACTTTTCCATCAAATATTTATCCAAAAATTTTACTTTTTAAAAGGTTTTAATATTTTGTTGGATTTCCTTTTACTTTTAAAACATGATTTAATCTTTTTGGGATGGATTCGACTAATTTTTTTGTGATTTCTGGAGTGATTTTACCCCATTTTCTTGAAGCACCGATTTTAATTGTTTTGTGAAGAAGAAATGGTGTGTTTTGCGAATTCTTGATTCCAATTCTTGCAAAATATTCTCTATGGGATTTTAATTGTGGAGATTGTGGGGGTGTTTTTATTATTTCAGGCCAGTTATACAGAAGCCAGAGTCTAACGTTCAAAGCACTGTGCTTGGGGTCATTCTCCTGGTAGCATTTAAAATCGTTATGAAGGTTCAATTTTCGTGCTGAAGATTTCAAATTTTGATTTAAAATGTCAATATACTTGTACTCATCCATTATACTGTCAATAAAAACAAGATTACCGACTCCAGCGGACGACATACACCCCATACCATAACTCCTCCACCATGTTTTACTGTTGGCACCAAGTTCTGTTTGCGAAATTCTTCCCTGGGTTTTCTCCACACCAAGATTCTACCGTCAGAACCAAATATATTAAATTTACTATCATCAGCAAATATAACTTCATTCCAGTAATCAGAATTCTTATTTATGTTGGATTTTGCGAAAGCCAGTTTCAGTTTTCTATTCTTTTCGCTTACGAAGAATTTTTTCCTGGCTGCTCTACCGTGATATCCAGTAGATCGAATTACTCTTCTAATAGTCTCAGAATTAACAATTACTCCATATAATGCTTGTAAATCAGCAGCAACTTTAGGAGCACTCATTCTTGGATTTTTTTTAAATATTTCGAACGATAATTCGCTTTATTCCATTGGATAGCTTTTATGGTCGGCCAGGTCTTCTTTTATCCTGAATCATATGATTCTTTTTATATCGTTTAATGATATTGAAAACTGTTGAATGACTGAAGTTAACTGTTTCAGTAGTTTCTCTAATAGATTTTCCGCGTTCGATATGCAAATTAATAACTAATTTTCGAATTCCAGGCAAAGTTTCTTTTCGTTTAGCATTCATAGCTGCATAGAGCTAAAAAACACAAAAATTCCAAAACAAACTGGAGAGAAATACTGCAGACGATTTTAAATTATTGGCCAATTGCTTTTGAGTAAAAATAAATCCCCAAAAGATATTTTTATTGCTTACTTCAGACTATTTTGTTGCATAGTACGTAGTGTCCCATCACTTAAGTGAGCCATTTTCTGCTCCGTTCTAAACAATTGTATTTTTATTAAATTAATATTTTAATATTTGAGAAAATGTATGTTATGTAATAATTGTTACTAAATTTAAGTATTGAAACACACCCACAAAAAATTTTTACATATTTTTAAAATTTATTTTATTGCAGTTTCCTTTTGTAAAGCACAAGTGTCCCATCACTTTTTTGAGACACTGTATATGAACTCTTCTTTCAGTAATTGAACAAAACAGAGAATGCCTATGAACGCAGAAATGATCGGTATATTTCCAAATACGTTTTAAAAGTTATTTTTTACTTTAAATATCTCAAAACAAAAATAGGATACCAAAGATTTTTTTTTATTTAGCGTTATGTAGCAGAGAAAGTTTATATTACATGAATAATTTTTGAACTCTAGAAAAAAATGAATTCATTTAAAAAAAATACGTATCGCTATAACAAACTTTGTATGCTAATATTCATATAGTACATCCATTAAATTAAACATTCTACAGGCCAAAAATGATTAAGAATTGACGATAAGCAAAGAATAAAATCTAAACGTATTTGATTTTTTTAAAGATTTTTCAGTTTTCAAACATTTTTTAGAAAGTTGTTCTCTTGAAAAGAAATTAGGTACCTGATTTACTTTTAGTTTTGGGGAGAATATTTGTTGTTTAAAAAAAAACAAAGAAAAGAAAAACTATCAAAATGTTTTAAACATTGAAGTAGATTATTTTAAATTCTAATAGGCTATTTGTTGACAGCAATAAGAATAATTTCATATCAATTTTTGCCGATTCATTATCTAGTTCATATTATTCATGTGATCACTTACACCTTTTATGGATATCAAGTTTGTAACATTTCATTCAAAATTCAAGTATCATATCAAAACCACTATTTAAAACTGCTAAGCTATATCCTTAAACTTATCACAAATGCAAAAATTAATTTTTTGGCTTGATTTTGTAATACGAGGGTTGCTATTTATATTCTTATATTTCTTTATATAAAAACAAATGTTTGTAATCGAAATTGGTTTTATTGTTTTTCAAAATATTCTCCATGGAGATCAAGACATAACCAATTAACCAATTTTCCAAATAAATTAAATTTTCTCATAAACTAATTTTCAAAATTCTAATTTCTAATTAAATTTTCGAAGCACTTTTCGACTCCGATAGAGGTAACTCCAAAACATGCGTTTTGAATGCATCAACCGCTTCTTCGTGTGCCGCAGATCGCTGACCACGTAATTTATTTTTGATGTTCGGGAATAAGAAAAAGTCATTGGGTCTGTACGGCGGACAATCAGGACTGTACGGCGGATGACCCGTCAATTCGATGTTTTGGCCCGTCAAAAATTCCTTTGAGCCGATGTGTGAGAGCTGGCATTGTCATGATGAAGAATGATTCGCCTCTTCTGCATTTTTAGAATTTCTCGGACGACTTCTGGCAGACAAATGGTTATGTACCATTCGAAATCGACCGTCCTGCTTTGCTCTGACGCCCCGTGACCGCAGGCAACCATGGTGCTTCTTTCTTCTGCGAACAACTTTTGTTGGATTTGGCTCGTCTTGGAAGACTCATACAATAGACTGCTGTTTTGTTTTGGGCTCATATGCATATATTCATGATTCGTCCCCTGTCTAGATGTTATACATAGCCTTTCACGCACCTGGAACGTATTTTTCCAATATATCCTTGCACCAATCGACACGAGCCTTCGTTTGAGTGTTTGTCAGATTATGCGGGATTCAACGCGAACAAATCTTTTTGACGGCCAAA